TACTCAACACGCAACAACGCAAAATACACACGTCGCGCGACACTTTCTCGTCCTTTCGCATTGTCCTTGTACTTCTCACAAAGTGTCTGTGTTCACGATCCCTCTTGTTTGTGCTCCTGCCTCTCTTTCGTTCAAGCAAGTCCCCCTGTCCTCGAGTCGTATTGCATTTTCCCGCCGCGCCGTTCCCTATATACTGCTTGCTGTTTACGTGTGGCTCGCCCCTCCCCGCCTTTCCTCCTTCCCTCCCCCTCCAGTCACCTGCAACTGTGCATGCGCGCGCCGAAAGCTAAAGCAAGCCCGCTGAATGAATTGTTTCTCCTCTTTTCCCCCTTCGTCTCCCTCTCTCTCTCTCTCTCTCTTCTTCTTTTGTTTCTCTCCACCAGAACCACCTTTTTCCCTCTCTCAGTGGCCCTTTTTTCGCCCAGCTGACCTTCTTCTGACACTCGAACAGTTGCATTCCTCTCTCGTCTCGCATTCCGGTCTGCCGTCCACTCATCGCAGAACCCAGCAACAAAAGTACCTTTCAACGGTCTCACCTTGAAATACACCAGGCTCGCCCTCCACAGCCTTTTTTATTTCGCTTCCTAGTGCTCGTTTTGCTGCTAAAACCGACTCACCTCCCAACCTCGCACTGTCGCACACCACCTCTTCGTTTTCCCACCTCCCCGCACCAGTGGTTCTGCACCTGACCCTGGCCTTTCAGCGAACGAAGAAACGAAGGACAGACCAAAAAAAAAACACATAAACGACCTCACGACAAGTTGCCCTCTCGCAAACTGACCTGCACGCCAGACACGCTCGAATTCAATCCTGTGCTCGTCTCTGCTGAGTATTGGTGCTTTTTGTGCTTCGCCTTCTCTTCGTACCCTTGTTCTTCTCCCGTTCTGCCCAACACGGCCGCCTCAACGCCCTCCATCTTGTACCTCTGCACCTTTGGGCCCAGGCTCACCCGCAACGCCATTGTGCCTCTCGAACGTCGGTAGCAGCCGCCGTGAACTGCAACGCATTTTGAATTATGTCGCAAAGCCGGCCGTCAGCCTTCAGCAATCTCCGCATGGGGGGTAAGTTTGGACTCTGTAGCGGACCGATGCAATGTGTCGCGCCCTCCGTCTGTTTTAGTTCGTCTGTTCGTGGCGGCGTCAATTGAATGCTAACAATTGCCCTTTTCTGGCGTCCACAGAGGTCGTCCGTGAGAAAGTCCAGGACGGTGTGACTGGCGAAACGAGAGACCTGCAGTACACGCAGTGCAAGATCGTTGGCAACGGCTCCTTTGGCGTCGTCTTCCAGACGAAGCTCTCGCCCTCCAACGAGGATGCCGCCATCAAGCGTGTCCTGCAGGACAAGCGGTTCAAGGTTTGTTTGCCCCAGGCAGACTCGTCAAGCGTTCAAGCGTTGCTCACAAGGCAATCGAGACCAGCCCTCAGACTAACGTTTTTGCCCTCTTGTCTAGAACCGTGAGCTCCAAATCATGAGAATCGTCCGCCACCCAAACATTGTCCAGCTGAAGGCCTTTTACTACTCCAACGGAGAACGCGTAAGTTTGTTCTGGGTGTTGCATTCCTTTTTTTTACTGGCCTTGATGAGGCCGTATTGGCTACATTGTATCGCCTCACCTCCTGAGTCGACCCGAGGCGTGTGAAGGCTGACGAACTGTGCTTCTCCATATCCAATAGAAGGACGAGGTGTACCTGAACCTGGTCCAGGAATACGTCCCCGAGACGGTATACCGCGCGTCCCGCTTCTTCAATAAGATGAAGACGACTATGCCCATTCTGGAAGTGAAGCTGTACATCTACCAGCTGTTCCGTGCCCTCGCCTACATCCACTCGCAGGGCATTTGCCACCGCGACATCAAGCCGCAGAACCTGCTTCTTGACCCGACAACGGGCATTCTGAAGCTTTGCGATTTCGGTAGCGCCAAGATCCTTGTCGAGAACGAGCCCAACGTCTCGTACATCTGCTCCCGCTACTACCGAGCCCCGGAGCTGATCTTTGGCGCCACAAACTACACGACCAAGATTGGTATGTCTCATTCGAACCTCCTCTCGTTGTGCCTTTTTGTCTTAATCATTGTATTATTCTCGGTTTCATTCTAACAAACGGTCTCCTCAGATGTCTGGTCAACTGGCTGTGTTATGGCGGAGCTCATGCTCGGCCAGCCGCTGTTCCCGGGTGAATCTGGAATCGACCAATTGGTTGAGATCATCAAGATCCTGGGTACGCCGACGCGTGAGCAGATCCGGACGATGAACCCGAACTATATGGAGCACAAGTTCCCCCAGATCAAGCCTCACCCCTTCAACAAGGTTTTCCGCAAGGCCGACGCCAACGCCCTTGACCTTATCCAGCGCCTCCTTGAGTACACGCCCACAGAGCGGTTGGCCGCTGTTGATGCCATGGTGCACCCCTTCTTTGACGAGCTGCGCGACCCCAAGACGAAGCTGCCTGACTCGAGACATCAGACCGGCACCCTCCGTGACCTGCCGCCTCTGTTCAACTTCACTCTGCACGGTAAGTTTTGGGTGCCATTGTACGTCCTCCCAACCAAAATGGAATGCTAACATGTTTTATCTTTCCCCTACAAAGAATTGTCGATTGCCCCGAACCTCAACCACAAGCTGGTACCTCCCAACATGGTCCCGGTTCTTCAGTCGCAAGGTCTCGACATTGACAACTTCACGCCGTTGTCACGGGAAGACATGATGGCCAAGCTCGATTGAGCCTAACGATTGAATGGCCTCACGCTCTCCTGAATAACGAAACAAAATACGAAAAAAGCAAAAGTGGAAACCGTCGCTGATGCCGAAGCGGCTGCAACTTAATCGGTGACAGCTTAAGCTGCGGCAAAGGCTGCGACCCATTTTGTCTCGTTTATTCTTTTTTTCACGTCATTTTTAAGAGAAACGACATCTGATCCTCGTCCCCTGCCTTGGATATCCCGACAGCTGAGCCATTCCTCGTTCGTCTTGTTTTTTGCTTTTATTGGGGCCTATACCAGCTCTTTGTCTCGCTGCGAGCCTAGAGATAGTAGGGCCAGAGCAAGAGCAAAAGAGTGGGATGTTGGGTGTCTTGAGATGAAGATCACACCCTGTGTTCACGAATGGGGCCTTGGGAAATGCTGAATGGTGCTCCTGGCAACAAATGAAGCTGTTCATTGCAGCCACCTACGACGATTCGAACGCCATGCTGCCTTTCCCCGTGTGTGGCATACGGAAACCGGCTTCGCACCTTTTGTATCACTTTTTATTTTCCTCAGCTGGGCGCCTACTTGGTAACCGGGCTGGAGTTAATGAAAAACAAAGAGCCTAGATTCGGATCGGATATGGACGTGGGAGGGAAAGGGGATCGAAAATGGGCATACGGGAGGGAGAGGAGTTGGGCATCTGATAGTTTTTGACTTCAATTGCTTCGGGGTCTGGGAGTTTCGTTTGTTCTGCTTACCGCATCATGTGGCCCATGTGGCCAACAAAAAAAAAAAACACAACGCGGAAGCTGCTGCAACTGGGAGCGAGATATGACATGACATTGGGGCTTTTGCTGTTTTTATTCTCTTTTTTATTCCTCTGTTCTATTTCATTTCTCTCTTGGCGCCTGGCCCGTCTGTCTCTGCCTCCTCACTTTCTGTTTTCTTTTTCGTATTCTCTCGTGCCTTTCTGCTTTTGTTCTTACGATCTCGCCACACCCCCTTTACCATTTTCCTCTTTAGATTTCTTTTCTACGTCATGGCATACGATGGCCTTAGTTTGTTTCAGACATCGTATACAGTATGTACGGGTTACCGTCTTGCTTTACTCTGTTTCTGTCTTTACAGTGTCCGGTGGTGGACTGTTGCTCCTGCGCCCCGTCTCTCGGTCTCGCTTCTGTGCCGTTCCGTGCCTAGTCTCGTTCTTTTAAGACAACGCCTTGCATTTTTCTTTTACTGGCTGCAGGCCTATCGCTCGCAGGGACAGACCATCTCTGTCTTTTCCATGTTCTTTTTTATCAAATATCACAATCGTTCCGTGGCACCTCTGGCAGTTCCAGATATGCCATGTTTTGCATGGACGGAGAAAAGTCTATTCGCATTAAATATCATTGTGCCGGAGTGACTGGAGTAAGAGGTCTAGGAGCCTGGAGAGAATCGAAAGGAGCAGGATGAGGGAAAGATGAGGGTGTCTTCTTATCCGTCCCTTTCATTCCGATTTCTTGTTTATACATTTTGTATTATTTTAGTAGAGGTATTGCAACTTGAATAACATTGATGGCCGCGATGATTATTTCTAGGACCAGTTTACACGCCTTTGACATCGATGGCAATAAAGTGAAGCTTCACACACGTCTTAATCGACTTGTATTCGTATAAACAGGGTAGCCAAATCGACCGACCTCCTAAGAGCTTTATCGCACCTGCCTCGCGTGACGATTGTGGTTCTTTTGCCGGCAGATTATATTCTGTGCAATGACGACGTTCGCTCTTCCTCTTTCCGTGGGTTGGTTGTTTCGCCCAGGATGGGGAAGGAGCTATGACCACCTGCGGATGCTAACACTTGATGCCCAAGATCCAAGGCACCAATGCATACAGGCCAATGCAGGTCGGCCGCCTGGGCCACTTTGACCAGCGTTTTTCTTAGCGCCGAAACACCAAGCTGGCAGGAGCTACTGTGTGTCGCACAGAGGTGGTTGCCGGCGTTTATGGGGCACGCGAATGTTCCCTTTTGCGTGTTCTCTTTTTTTTCTCGCGTTCCATCTCCAGATCGTCACAGCGAGCATCACGAACTACGGCCACAACTGTCAGCGACTGCGACGTGCATTTCCATCATTCGGTCCTCTGCATCCGGCATTCATCCCAGCTGTTGCTTTCATTCATTCACAGCCTTCGAGCCCTATTCAATTGCTACCCAGCTTTCGCTGGCGGTCGAGAGATCAAAGATCCATTTGCCTTTTGCTTGCGACGTCAGCGACGTCAGCGACGTCAGCGACACTTGAGTTTTGCCTGAGACGCATAGCAAACACGAGCCGCCATGGCCGACTACGACCGCCGCGGCGGACACAACAACTACCAGAACAACCGCAAGCGGAGATACAGAGGTGCGCCCCCTTCACCATTTGCACATCCCTGGCTGAGAATCTTGAAGGACGTCGTCCGACAGACTAACCCGTGCAGATGACGACGACAACGAGTTCCGCAACCAGCGCCGCCGCTCAGAGCCTCCCGCGCCTGTCCGCATCCGCCGCCGCCTGCTGGCTCTCGCCGAATCGCCCCTGAGCCGATGGGACGACGAGGTGGTAGACATCGCCCGCCTCGTCACGAGCACCGACGACAACGGTCCCACGCGCGAGAGCTTCGTCCGCCTTGCCTGCCAGATGGTGCGCGAGCAGCCGCTCAAGACGCCCTTTGTCGCCGCCCTCCTCCTCATCGTCAACGCCCTCAAGCCGGACATTGTCCTCGACGTCCTGCGCGCCGTCGCTGCTGCGACCGAAAGCGCCATTGCCGAAGGCCGCTGGCGCGAGGTGAAGCTGCAGCTGCGCCTCATCGCCTGCTTGCAGCCGTGTCTGGAGGGCGACGGCGTGTTCCCGCTGCTCGACACCTTGTTTGCGCGCGCGGTCGACCTGCAGACGGCCAGCTCCGACGACGTGATTGGCACAGAGCTGGTTAAGATCATCTTGCTGACCATTCCCTACGTCATGACGGCCGTGTCGGCCTCGTCTGCATCCTCGGACCCGGAGAACACTGACAGCGACAGCATCGAGCAGTGGCGCCAGCGCGCGGCTGGCCTGATGGAGAAGACGGACATTATCGCCTCGGAGCCCCATGCGCTGCAGGGTCTGATGGACCCGTACCACCACGGCATCGACACGGGCCGCAAGGCCAAGAAGGCCAAGGGCGCCGGCGATGCCATGGAGGAAGAAGAGGAGGACGACAACAATAACGACGACAACGACGACGACGAGACAGAGGCCGACGGCGACAACGGTCCACCGCCCGCCGAGAGCGTTATCGCCCTGCTCCAGAAGCAGCTGCAGGCCGAGGCGGCCAGCGGCTGGCCGCTCACGTGCCTGCCGCGCATGCACAAGCTACCACTCGAGGAGGCTGGTCTGCAGGAGAAGGCGCAAGAGCCAGCCACGAGGCACCCGCTGCCGGCGATCGCTGTCCCCGAGACGGTTATTGCAGGCCCCCGCGCCCTGTTCCCCGAGGTGTACTTCTCCGTGTACGGCGCATGGGTGGACGAGGACGAGGGCTCGGCCACGAGCGCCCTCTCGCCGCAGGCTGCGGCGTTCCTGCCGCACTCGGTGCCGCCTCTGACGGACGCGGCGTCGTCGTTGATCCGCGACATCCTGCTTGACACAATCAACGGGCTCGACTTCAACCGCAACGCCACCGCACGGTTCCTCATCGACATTGACTGCTACTTTGCCGACGGCACGTTTGTCAAGCGCGCAACGCCCTACGATCGTCTGCGCGAGATTGAGCCGGGCAAGTCGACGTGGAAGCCCGAGGACGTGGCCGTCGACACGGTGTTCGCACAGCTCTTCCAGCTGCCCCAGCCCGAGCACAAGCTCGTGTACTACCATGCTGTGCTGGCCGAGGCGTGCAAGATTGCGCCCGCCGCCATTGCGCCCAGCCTGGGCCGCGCGATCCGCTTTCTGTACCGCAACAGCCCGCGCATGGACCTGGAGCTGGTCGGCCGCTTCGTCGACTGGTTCGCGCACCACCTGAGCAACTTTGGCTTCACCTGGAAGTGGGCCGAGTGGGTCGACGACGTCGACCTGCCGGACCTGCACCCGCACAAGGCCTTTATCCTGGCCGCCATCGACAAGGAGATTCGCCTCAGCTTTGCCCAGCGCATCAAGAACACGCTGCCGGAGCCGTACCAGGCGCTGATCGACCCGAACACGGAGCAGGACGTGCCGCCGTTCAAGTACGCGGAGCCCAAGGAGGGTGCGGCGGCGACGGCCGCCGACGACGTTCCGTTTGCGGCCGAGGGGCGGGAGCTGGCCGTGCTGCTCAAGCGCAAGGCCGCCGACGAGGACGTCCAGGCCGTTATCGAGCGCATCCACAGCCAGGCGCTCGACGCCGGGCTCGATCCCCTGGTCACGTCGACGGACGTGTTCACGACGGCCGTGCTGTGGGTCGGCTCCAAGTCGCTGTCGCACGTGCTGGCTGCCATCGAGCGCACCAAGGACCGGCTGCTGGACGCGGGCGCGGCCTCGGAGGCGGCGCGCACCCAGATTCTCGTGGCCGTCATGGCCTTTTGGGGCGCCCACTCGGGCGTGGCCGTGTCGATTACGGAGAAGCTGCTCAACTATGCGATCCTGACGCCCGACACGATTGTGCAGTGGGCCCTGTCCAAGAACGACCAAAAGGGCGCGAGTGCCAGCCTGGCCGTCAACTACGTCGCCGAGCTCGTGTTCAACACCGTCGACAAGGTCACACGCCGCGTGCACCAGCTGGTGGGCGCCTCGCAGACGGCGGCCACGGCCGTCGCGGCCGCCACCCAGGCCGTCGAGGCAGCCAGGGAGCGCCAGCGCAACCCGCCGCCGCCGCCGCCGCCGCCATCGGCCGCTGTGGCCGCCCCCAAAGACGGCGACCTCGATGTGGCCATGGACGAGGACGCGGGCGCGGCGTCGTCGACGCATGCGGCTGCGTCGGCCATGGCCGAGGCTGTGGCGGCCGCCGCCGCCGACGCCGACGCGGCTGTTGAGGCGGCGGAGGCGGCGCGCGTCCAGGCGACCGCTGACCTCGAGGCTGCGCGCGCCGCCGAAGCCGCCGAGACCAAGGCGATGCGCGACCTGTTCCGGCTGCTGGGCGAGGCGCTGCAGCCGTGGCTCGCCGGCGACGACAGCGGCCTGGCCAAGGCGTGGGCGGTGCGGTGGCAGCGCGTCGTGCAGCGGCGCGCGGCCGTGGAAGAGGCGTTCTTGCGCGGCGAGGCGCAGCGCATCGCCGCGGACGAGGCGGCGGCGGCGGCAGCGGCGAGCAAAAACGGGGCCGACGGCGAGAGTGCATGAGAACGGGGGGAGTCGACTCTCGGAGAAAGCAGTCGGTGAAGTCATATGTGTAGCACCATTTTGCGTTGTTTGATTTTATGTTTTGTTATTTTGCTGTTTCGTGTCATGTGTACTTCTTCTGTTCATGTATTCCTGGTTCCCTCTCGGGCTACCATATTATTTTCTTTCGCATTTGCACATAGGAGGTCAAGGCGATCATGGAGGCTGTTTACAGATGGGGTCTCATATAACTACACAGGTCGTTTCTACACGTTTTGATCCGGTTACCATGCCATCCAATGCGCATCACATGCTGTTTTCTTTTCTTCTTCACCCCGCAGACGACACGTCGACTGGGTGTGGGTTGGCGGCAATCTCGCGGGCCACCTCGCGCGACCGCGCATTGTCCTCGAAGCTCAGGCGCAGCAGGTCCACGACCTCCTCGGCCGTAAAGTACAGGCTCAGCTCGCTCTCCATCCACAGGTAGCGCACCTCGCGCAGGTTGGACTGCAGCACTTCGGACAGATACTGCAGCCGCAGCCAGTTGGGCGCGTACTGCGACGTCATGGGGATGCTCGCGTCGCCTTCGCCTTCGTCGACGGGCGGCCGGAACAGGTCGTCCAGCTCCGTCACTTTCTGAATCAGGTTCGCCAGGCTAAACGCCTCGTCCTGGCTGATGGACGGCATGTCCAGCACGTCCGCAATCAGCTTCTGGGCCACGGCGTCGGCCAGCGCGCCGACGGCCTGCGACCACGCCGACGGCGCCAGGACGTCCTCCCAGGCCGCCGCCATCGACCGCACGCGCGCCACGGCGGCGTCCACGTAGTCGTCGGCGTCCTCGTCGCTCTCTTGGTGCGACGGGTAGCCGCGGCTGCTGCTGCCGCCGCCGCCGCTCTCCTGCAGGACGTTCTGGTCGCCCCCAAGCAGGTCGCGCAGCACCGTCTTTTGCACGGCCATTTCGCGGCCGTAGGCGCGGCTGGCAAACCCCTGCAGCTTGGCCACCTCGGCATCGAGACGCAGCATCGACGCGGCTGCAGGCGGAAGACGGTCCGTCCATGCAGCGGCCACCTCGCCCAGGCGCTCGGCCAGGTACATGGCGTCGTTGTAGAGGTACATGCTGCCGCCGACGTCGTGCGCGTAAGAGTGCGGCGAGACAGCGCGGAACATGGCGAGGGCCAGCGCCGGCAGACTGAACAGGCCCGCGCCGGCAGCCGACACAGAGCTGCCCTCGTAGGCGCCCGAGGTCAGCGCGACGCCGTCCTCGAGGATGGACGTGATGAGGTCGAGCACGGGGCCGGGCATCGACGAGATGTGGTACTTTTCCTTCATGACCATTTCTCGTATGGCGGTGTCGTGCGGTTCGTTTGGTGCCGCTGGTGGTGCTTTTGTTGTGGATGTGGACGGTGCTTCCTTCTTTGCCTTTTTTGGTGACGGCGGCTTGGCTTCTGCTGGCTCGTCATTGTCCTCTCCGCCGTCGTCGTCGCCCCAGCCCCAAGCATCCGCCGCATCGTCATCGTCATTGTTGTCTTCCGGGCTCTCTTTGCCTGCTGCCTTCGGTTCTGACGGCTCTGGTACCGCCTCTTCTTCCGCGGCCTCTTCCTCTAGCTCAGCCGCAGCATCGTCGTCGTCGCCCCAGGCAGCCCACGCATCGGCTCCATCGTCTCCATCGTCCTTGGCCGTGGCGGTTGATTTAGAGGTGCTGGCTTTTGTTGATGCTGCTGGTCTTGAGTCTTGTTCTTGCTCTTCGTCTTCTTCGTCGGACCAGGCTGTATCCCAGTCGGTCGCCTGTTCTGTTGTGCCAGTGGCGGCAGCCGGCGCGGCAGCGAGCTCCTTGCCCTCGGACCGCGAGACCATCTGCTTCTCGATCCTCTCAACCTGCAGTGGCTTGCCGAGGCCCTTGGCCACGTTGTTCCGCACCGTGTTGAGGGCCGCTTCTTTGCGCTTGGCGAGCCAGACGCGTGGTGCACTCTCGATCCACTCCTGCAGGCGGCCGAATCCGGTGTAGTGCAGGTCCGTCAGACGTGCACAGAACCCCTGTGCCGCTTGCAACGTGCCCTCGAAGGCGGCCATCTGGTCCAGAGATGTGGGGACCGACGACGCCAGCCAGACATCGATGACACGGGCCACGAGCTCTGGCATCATGACCGAGGAGATGGACTGGACGAGGTCGGCCGGCAGCTTGTCGGCGAAGAATGAGAACATCGTGTCGAGGTCCTCGAACAGTGCGGCCACACCGTCACGTCCCGCTTCGTTCTCTGACGGGCTGTGCTCGCGAATGCCCAGCTCCGCGCCGTCGACGTAGATGCGTGGCCGCGACGGACGGGGCTGTGACAGGTCGGTGCGCGGTGCTACAATGGCCTTGTCGAGCGCGTGCCAGAGCTCCACCATGCGCCGGTCGACCTCCTTGTACGCCTTGAGCCCAATGACGGCGTCGGACAGGCTCATGGGCTCGTCGGGCCGCGTCTCGTGGATTGTCAGGGTCGCCTGCCGCTCGTCCGCCTGGACACGCACCAGCGCGCTCCACACGTGGTCGAACACGCGGTGCACGTCCGCCTTGAGCTCAAACGCCCGCAGGTCCAGCAGCCGCATCGCGCGGCACGACTTGCTCACCGGCATCGCGTCCAGCGCACCCCACGCGCGCTCCAGCAGCCGCAGCGCGTCCAGGATGCGCCGCTGCGCCGCGGCCTGCTCGACGTCGTCCAGCAGCCGGCTGACGCTGTGGATGGCCTCGAGCAGGTAGCGCACCTGCAGGTTGTAGTTGAGCTCGCCCGTCAGGAACTGCGCGTGTGCCTCGGCCTCGGCCTCTGCCGGGGTCTGCAATTGCGTTGTTTGCCCCCCGCCTGCATTCCTAATCCCACCTTCACTGGACCGCACGCCGTCTCCGTCGTTCGCCCGCACGAGAATGTCGCCCGCCAGCGTCTTCCGCCGCGCAATGGCCACCTGCAGCGCTTTGGCGTTGTCGATCCACGCCTGCACGTCGCCCGCCGTGTCGTGGACAATCGACTGGATCTCGGTCTCGAGTGCCGTCTTGGCATCGGACAGTACGCGGATCGCGTCGGGGAGCGTCTCGGGGCGCAGAGCCGCCGTGGCCACGTCGTTGTCGGCTGGGAAGAGGCCTTGCGTCGAAAAGTCGACGAGCGCCTGGCCGATGACGCTCGCGCCTGGTTGTGATGCGGACGTTGCCGCCATTGTGTGGCGGTGTGTCGATAGGGGTTGGTGTTCGTACAGTTGTGTTTCTGCTAGGGGTATCGTAGCCGCAGGGCTGAATGTCGGTGGTTGTGATGTTGAGATGTTGAGTCGTGCAAGTTGCAGTTGATTGCAGTTGACGACGTCAAAGGACAGCTGTAGCTGTGTTTGGATACAGTGGGGCCTCAACATGCTTGGCCGTCGATTTGGGGAAGTTGCAACCCGAGCTCACGCTACCATGTGATTGGACAACGAACGTCATAGCACTCACAGCGCACTGCCGGCTGCAACAGCGCCCTAATACAGCGGCATAGCACCTAACTTTGTGTAAGGTCAACAAACTTTACATACGGAACATCAAACAGCCTCATTTCTCCTCTCAAACGTTACTCGGCTTCGTCTCAATGGTCGATGTCCTGTAGTTTTATTTTTGTTCCTGGTATGAATGCTTGGTATACCTCCTTCTGAGTCCCATATAGTACACTATATATACGAATACAATGGCTGTTCTTATCTACAGATGCGATGCTCTTCCTCTCTCCTCGCCTTTTCTCGTCTCTTTATTCCTTCATTCGTCATCAGTTCTCCTCTTCCCCTACATGAGGCTCGTCCGCCCGCCTATCTCCATGCTGCCTTGGCCGTCGCGCATCTCGCCGCTGCGGCCCACCACAAACTCCTTGTAGATGCGCTCCAGCCGCCGCCGCTCCTGGTCGCTGATGCTGGCCCTCGTGCTGTCGAGCGCCTTGTAGACGTGCTTCCAGCGGATGACGACATCACGGCTCGACGCCGCCGCCGCCGCCGCCGCCGCACCCTTGCCACCGTCCGCATCGCCAGCCGAGCCCGGCCGCTGGGCCGTGCGTTCGCGCCGCCGTGCCAGCCGGATGCTGTCGAGCTTGGCCACAATGGCCGCGCGCTCCGCCAACGCCGCCGACCGGTGCTGTGCCTGGCCGTTGCTCTCGGACGACGCGCTGCCGTCGTCCGCACCGTACCGGAAGGAGACAAAGTTGTGTGCGGCGGCCGCTGCGGCGGTGGCACCGGATGCCGACTTCTTGCCTGAGGACACGGCCGCGCGCTTGCCGCTGGAACCGTTCGCGGCGCTCGTCGCCGACGCCGACGCGGCAGACGTCTTCTGCTCGCGGTCGTTGAGCACGTCGTGGATGGCCTCGAGCTGCGCATTCGACACGAGCGCCTGCAGATCGGCGCCCGAGAAGCCCTCGGTGCGCTGCGCCAGGTTGCGCATCGCCTCGCTGTCGTCGCTCTGGTTGGGCCCGCCGAGCACCTCGTCGCTCATCTTGGCCTTGTTGCCGAGCGCGCGGAAAATGTCGAGGCGGTCGGCCGCGTCGGGGAAGCCGCACAGCAGACTCTTGTCGAGACGGCCGGGGCGCAGCAGGGCCGGGTCGATGAGGTCCGGGCGCGACGTGGCGGCCAGAACGTAGACGCCCGACAGGCCCTCGGCGCCGTCCATTTGCGTGAGCAGCTGGTTGACGACGCGGTCGGTGACGCCCGTCGAGTCGTGGCCGCGCTTGGGCGCGATCGAGTCGAACTCGTCAAAGAAGAGCACGCACGGCTTGGCGGCCTGCGCGCGCTCAAACAGGTCGCGCACGCTCTTCTCGGACGCGCCAATGTACTTGTTGAGGATCTCCGGGCCCTTGACGCTGATAAAGTTGAGGCCGCACTCGCCCGCCACCGCGCTGGCCAGCAGCGTCTTGCCGCAGCCCGGGTAGCCGTACAGCAGCAGGCCCGACCGCAGCCGCAGCGGGCACTTGGCAAAGATGGGCGCGTACTTGGTCGGGTACTCGAGCGTCTCGAGCAGCACGCGCCGCGTCTCCTGCAGCCCGCCGATGCTGTCAAACTTGGTCGTCGAGTGCTGCAGCGTCACGTTGCGCAGCGACGTCGGCGTGAAGCCCTTGAGCGCCCGCGCAAAGTCCACGCGGTCCAGCGGCACAATGCTCGACACGTTGTCGTCGAGGTCGCTGTTGCCCGTGATCGACCGCACGAGCGCCTCGTTCTTGGCCCGCGCCACCAGCTGGCTCAGGTCGCCCGGCATGAACCCGTCCGTCTCGCCCGCGACATCCAGGAAATCAAGGTCCTCTTGGATCACAAACGCGCCGTCGTTGTCGCCGCCGCCGTCGCCGCCCGCTGCCTGCGTGTCGCGTCGGCTCGTCTGGCTCGCGCCGTCCATCATCCAGTTGCCGCCGTCGTCGCTGGCCGCCCGGCCATCCGCGGTCGTCGGCCGGCTGCTGTTGTTGTTGGTGTCCTCGCCGCTGTTCTGACCGCCGTTGCCCAGCCGCTTTGCGGCCTGCTCTGCATCGAGCGCGTTCTGCCTCGCAAAGTTCTCCATAATCTTGCGGCGCGTATCCTTGTCCGGCGCCTTGAGATCGACAATCTCGCGCACCACGTGGCCGCCGACGACGACGTTGTGCAGCGAGTCCTTGCCCTGTGCCGTCGCCAGCAGCACGACATTGCTGTCGGGCCGGCCGCAGTACTGCCGCACAATCGCGCACAGGCCCTCGCTGATCTGCCGGCTGCGGCCCTCTTCGCTCTGCACCACGAGCTCCGTCTCCGCGGGGCAGAGACGGTCGAGATCGTCCAAGATGACGAGCGCCCTGCCGCCCAGGCGCGCGCCCCAGCTGGCACCCATAAACAGGCGGCTCAGCGTCTCCTTGATCGTCGCAATCTTGCTCTCCTCGTTGACCAGCTTGCGACAGGCCAGGTACGACACGTGGAAGAACTCGCTTGTCCGCAGCGCCTCGCCAGTCTGCTGTGCCACCGACGTCTTTCCAGAGCCCAGTGCGCCGGTCAGCAGCACGGACGACGAGTGCGACAGGTGCGTCTGCAGGTCGCTCAAGATGCCGTTGATGCCGACCAGAGTCTGTTGCGAAGAAGACAGCGGGGACGCGGCATTCGCCTCCGCCTCCACCAACCAGGATGGCTTCGGAATGGGCGCCTGGACCTCGTAGGCAGAGCTGGTGACTGTGGAACCCAGGATCCATTTTGTGTTGTCGCCCTGCGCTGCCACGTCGGCGGGTGACACGCTCAGCTTCAAGAAACCGCCGCACCAGCCACTTGGAGCAGGCTCTGCGCCGTTGTTAAGACCCAAGACCAGACCGTCGGTCAGCGGGCCCTGGAACAGACCCTGCGGCGCTTTACCACCGTAGTGTGCTCGGATCCGCTTGACGGCGTCTTCCTTTTCGTGCTGTGCGTCGCCGCCAAACTTGATCCCTGCTGCCTGCTTGCTGCTGCTGCTGCTGCTGTCCTCGAAGGGGTACAGCTTAATCTTCTGCACCATTTTCGGGGCCAGCGGTTGAGATGCTGGCTCGATCTTGACCACACCGCCGACGACGCCCTGGCAACTGAGGGCCGAGCAGAGAGCAGGCGACAGTGCGGCTGTCTGGCCGTTTGGCGGGTCGTCCCAGGGACGGATCTGGACGATGATGCGTGCTGCCGACTCGATGGAGCTCAGGCCAGGGCCGCCTGGTTGTGCAGCGCCAGTCCCCAGCGCAGGTGCCGTCGCGCCGCCCACAAGAATCTCACCGCCGCCACCGCCCGGCTGCTGCGGTTGTTTGGGAGGCTGTGTGCCGCCCGCTCGCAACAGTGTGATGGACGCCCATTTCAGGCCACGGAACTCGTTGGGCAGCAGCAGGTCGCGGTCCACCCACACGGCCAGACCTGCATCGCCGGCCACCACGTCCTCATCGAACCACTCGTCGCAGAGCGCCCGGTCGACTGCGCGCAAGAACAGCGCCGGTTTCCGCTCCTCGCGCGCGCCCCGTCCCCGTGCTGTGCTCGTGCCGCTCTTCTTGGACGTGCTCGTCACACTGCGGTTCTCGCGGCTGCTGCGCGAGGGCTTCGCCCGCGTCTTGGGCGCCACAATCACCTCGGCGTCGGGCGCCACCTTGGCAAACGGCGCGTCGGACGGCAGCGCAGGCTCCAGCGAGAGCACCTTGATGTTGGCCGTCGACGTCGGCGAGAGGTGCAGCGTCAGCGGGTGTGGAGGGATGGTTGCGCCGCCCGGCCCTGCAGAGCCCGTGAAGGCGGGATTGGGCAGCGCGCGGATCTGGTTCATCAGGTTGATCTCGAGGAACGTGGCATGCAGCTCGACCATCTCCCAGTCCTCGGGCGTCAGCGGCTCAATGTTGATTGTGTGTGCCAGCGGCGGGTCGAGGTGGATTGTGGCCGTGACCTTTTGGCCGTCGTGCAGGCCGAGCGTGTGTGCAAACGTGGCGTCGATCTCGACGACGGCAATCTCCTGGTCGCTGCCGCCACCCGTCCGCCCGCCGCCCCCGCGGGCGCTGCTTGTGATGCTGTCGCGGCCGACGAGCGAGGCCATCTTGCGTCGGCTCGGCATGCCCGTCCAACCGACGAAGATGGACCGCTGGACCGAGGGCGTCGGCCCCGAGCTGTCGGGACGAGGGGCCGCCGGGGCGCGGTAGCTGAGCTCGATGACGACATTTTGTATGGGCTGTCAGTCAGTAAAGGGGGCATAAAAGCATGAAAGGTTCTCGCGGCCACATCAAGCACGACCTACCGTATCCACGTTCAGGAGAATGTTGACGAGCGAAGATGGCAGGTTGACGAAGCACTTTTGCAGCTGCACCAGCGACAGCTCGGCTGCCGTGGACTGCGAGTTCTTACGCGGCGCCATGGCTGGCTGGTGTGATGTGCAAGGCACGAACTGGGTGTCTGCTGTCGCTCGCGTGTTGCTGCCCCTGTGTCGTGATGCGTGGCAACGTATGAGGTGGTGTCTGCTGTTGTGAAAGTGTCGATTGAAGATCGTCAGAGTTTCGCTTTGGAAATTCAGCTGCCAGGCGCTTTGCTGCAGGTGCGTGTCCCAGTGACCGTTCGCTCTTGCTGTGCTTGTGCTCGTGCTAATTGGCCCGAAACTGGGGAAGGCACGTTCGCCAGCAATTGCGGTGCAGCCGCCGCCGATTGCCGAGGCTTCAAATGCCCCATGCCCAGACATCCACTGTGGCTAGTGAACTGGTGCGCCACACGACCTACCA